ATATTATCAATTTTAACAATTGAGACTTCATAAAAACTACAAATAATAATTATACTCTTTTAGAACTTTATATTATTTAAAACATTTTCTTTCACAATTTCAATTTCAATTTGTAAATTTACAATACAAAATATTAATACAAAAAAATAATTAAGTTTAACAATATAATCAAATAGCAATGGGAATAATTTTACTATTAATAAAGTAATAATGTTTTTCTATGAAAAAAACAAACATATAATTTATAAAATATCAATATAATTAGAAATTAAAGATCAAATTGAAATAAACAAAATTTTTAAAAATAGAAAAAAAAAATAAAAAGTTTCAAAATTAAAAAAATATTTTTTTGTTTTTTTTTAACAAAATATTTTAACTTTGTAAATAAAATTTTCTTATATTTATTTGCAGAAATAAAGTTTATTTCAAAAAAAAAATAAGTAAAATGTAAATCTGAAAAAAAAAAAAACATAATCCAATAAAATATCATATACAATATTTAAATTTATTAATATCAAGAACTTTTTTATTAAATTTTATAAAAATAACTGAAATTTCAATAAAATAAATTGTATATTAATTCACATGTAGAATATAAAGAAACAAATGCAAGATTACAAAAAGCAGACAAAATTATTTGTCAATCATCCAATCCTATTTGGTTAATCCCAAACACACATTAAGCTCTAAGTGATCTAGTTTTTTACAGGTTATTTTATTTCATACATGAGAAAGAATATATCCACGTTGATTTCGAATTTTTCAACGATAAGGATGACGACTGCATCGCTTTGTTTAAATAATATTTAACAATTAGACTGTAATGGTGAGAATCATCAAGCCTTTTATTGAGTATAACGTCGTGGTCTCTTAGTTCTTTAAGTTACCGATGATGGTCTGTTTGTTGAAAGAGAACAGTCATTAAGTAAAGCAATATAAAACATATCAAAATATAATGAAATAGAACATTTCACTTTCCTCCTTTGCGTATTTAGCAACAACACCTTTATCGTGTAGCATGTTAAACTAAAAAAATATTATATTAATGAGTTTTTTTTATTTTTAAGAGTAAAAAAAAAAAAAAAAGTATTAAAAACCTCTTCTGTCGCATCCTTTCCGGCATATAGTAAAATAGCTTTTTTGCCACCGGGATGATCTGATTATTTGAAAAAAAAATAATTCAGTTGTTATGTTATGTAAATTTTCTAAATAATAATAATAATAATAATAATAATTACCCGGAAGGAAATTAGTAACATCCAAAACCTGACCATTAACAACTACCCAACAATCTGAAAGAGAAAAATGTTTTATAAATCGAAATATGATCATATAACTTCCAATAATAGCATAAATATACATAAACTACTCACCTTTTTCAGTGTTATGTTTGGCTACTTCACTGAGAGTGTAATCCTTTAATACTTTTGGTGATTCAGCCTTCTCTGGTTGAGCAGGTGCGGATGCAGGAACAGAAGATTTCTCTTGAACATTTTGACTCGCACCACCACCTTGTTGACCCCATGAGATTTCTAAAGACACTTTTTGGTTATTTGGGTCCACAGAAATGGTGGTCTGGTATGGAGACAGTTGTCCGGCAATTTGACCAAGACGACGGCTGGCAGACAAATTCTGAAGGAGATAATGTGCCGCAGCATCACCAGCAACCCGACCAAATACCACGCATCCCAAAAGAGATGAACCACCCAACCTGTTAAGATTTTTTTAATACATATTCAAATATTGCATGATAAAATCCTTAATAGAGTAATAATAACCTGTTTGCCCCATGGACACCTCCGGCTAATTCCCCAGATGCATAAAGACCAGGTATAACTTTTCCTGTCACATCTTTCACTTCGGAATCACCGTTGATTTCAACACCACCCTACGATGGTTTAATGGCACGTAAGTAAATAAATATTTGAAATTGACAATATCAATTAGAATATGATACTCTTATACATACCATCGTGTAATGCAACACTGGAGACATTAGGGCAACATGAAATTCGTCGTTGACGGAAATTGGCGCGTTATGGAAGAACTTTTTACCATATGGATCTTTCTTTCTGCCTGCTGCTATTTCATTGTATTCATCGAAGGTCGCTTTCAATTGTGAAACGGGAATTCCAATTTCTTTTGCTAATGCATCACCAGAGCTAAATTTCTTCATCAATCCACGACCGCTATAATGTCTACAATGCCATTCAATCTCTTTTGAGGCTTTACTGTTAAGCACGAGACGAACTGGCGACTTAGTTTTCCAGATTTCACCAGTAACGTAATCACGGTGACCCAATTCATCACAGAACCGTTTTCCATCGGCATTTAATAGCAAACCACCAACACCTCGGAGAGCTTCAGCAGCCAAGAATTTGATCTTAGAATTAGGATCTTTTGGATCAACCAAGCCGGTAGGATGTACTTGAACTTTTTCCAAATCAATGGCTTTTCCACCAATGGCAAGAACCATTTTGTGACCATCACCGGTACAATGATCTCCATTGGTGGTAGGTAGGTCATATATATCGGGACGGTATTTCTTTAACAATGAATCTTCAGTGAAATCAGCAGCATAACCACCCGTAGCCAAGATTACGGGACCGTATTCCTTAAAGGTCTGGCCGTCTTTGACGTATTCGACACCGACAACCGCATCACCTTCTTTAATCAAATTGGTAGCACGTGCTTTCATAATGACTCTAGCTCGGTCGGGCTGTTTTTCGACAATCTCTTCGAAGCGCTCCATTAATGCATAGGTGATGGTCATGCCGGGAAACATTTCTTTACCACGGTGAGTACGTGGATGAGAATGACCACCTAATCTTGAAACGAGTGAAAGGTCTAGTTTGAATTTATCCTGGAGCCATTCTACAGCAGAGGCTGAATTTCCTGTAAGCACCTTTATAAGATCTGGACGGGCAAGGTCACGGGCCGATCGAATAGTGTCTTGTTCAAAGATTTCAGCAGAGTCTGGGATTTTTTGGGCTACATGGAGAATTATAAGATGCCGTTTTTGATAAATGACCCGTGCTCATAATCATATAATAGAACGATATCTTGAAATTAGGTGTAGGTATTCTATAATACTTGCCTATCTGGGTTTTGGTTAAAGCACCATTTATACCAGAGGTGGCCTTAGTGGAATTACCGCCAAAGAAGGAGTTCTTATCAATAACAAGGACGTTTCCTCCGCGTTCTAACACAGTGTGGGCGGCTGAGAGCCCCGATAGTCCACCACCAACAATAATAATCTGACTAGCCATTTCTTAATTACTCAGTTTAATGGAAATAAAAGGATGATTTTCTTTTTCGTCAGGCGTTAAGATCGTCAAATATTTGCCCTCGAAAAAAAACCACTTGCATCCAAACAGTTTATGTACACTGAATCTCTTATGAATGGATCACCCGATTTTTTTATGTAACAATGCATCATTGGTTATCTATTGTACAACAAAAAAAAAATATCGAAATCAAGATCTATCGAAATCAAGATCACCATCTTTTTTCATTTTAATAATTTAATTTTTAATCAAGTATGCCATAATTAGACGTATCTTCGAGTAAATATGTAGATTTTCTTGCTAAATTTGAAATTCTTGTACGCTTTGTTCGCAGTGGAATATCTACCTAAACGAGTATATGTTGGAGGCCTTTCCAAGGACATCACTGAAAAGGACCTCAAAGATCGTTTCAGCCTTTTTGGGACAATATCGAATATAGATGTTATACGTCACTCCGATACAGGTAATAGAATTCGATTATCTTTAAAGCTAACCAGCTGTTTTAATGGGATATCTTTTTACATAGGAGATTGCCGAGGGTTTGCATATATCACGATCAATACAACAGAAAATGACTGGAAGAAATGTAAGAGTAATAATTTATTATCTTTTTGTACTCAATTTGATCGTCAGATAATCGATTCTACCCAATTATAAGGCATATCTCTTTTTAACGGTACTAAGTGGAAAGGTATGACGTTGACGATTCAAGACGCGAAGCCTGATTACAAACAAAGGTAATCTTAATAAAATTTACTCTGTAATTTCACGATACTTCCTAATGTCACGCATCACGTGATAATTTATGATGACTAGATTGAAAGAAGAATGGGCAAAGCAGGAGACCTTCGATAATAATGTGATAGGATTATCACCGGTGTTGATTAAAAAAAGGAATTCTCAGAATTTCTTTACCAAGAATGAAGAAATGAATTTGGTGTCAAATAATGGTTCGGGGGTATGTGCAATTTAAGTTTTCTGCAGTTATAAACCTGTATGATGCATCTAACATTAAATCAATTTAACAGAGGTGGAATATACCTAATGAACGCACGGTTGCAATGATGCACGGTAAAGATTCTGGAGTAAATGTAATGAATCATTTTTATTTATTTATTTATTATTATTATTATTGTATTTGGTTTTGACGTTCTAAGATATTATTAGTCCTCGACAGATTCAGGTCTATACAACGGTAGTTTTAAAGAATTTTCCGAAAAAGATCTAAAGAAATCAAAAGTTAAAGCCAAAGAAGAGAAATTCTTTGGAAAAGAGGCACGTGATATTGAGAGCAACAAAAATTCGAATGTTGCAAACATTATCAATCCGCTGAACATACTAAACAACAGAGACATGCAGCACACAAATCCTTTATTGCATTTGAAATCGGAAACTACCGAATCGCTTAGCAGACCCGCGCTTCCACCTTCGATAATTGATGGTCTTAAAAAATTGGAAAAAAAGTCTGGGATTACTTCCATAAAGGTATTCTGTATTTAAAGTGAAAAAATATTTATTATTATTATTATTATTATGTTGTATTCATTATATTTATTTATTTAGGAGCAATCAAACCAATCAAACCAAATCCGTTTGGAAGCTCTAAAGCAGCGTGCATTAGAGAGGAAAACAAAACTGGAAAAAGTCACACAGTCATTAAGGAATGATTGTAAATTGACCGTAAATATCCAATATTTATTTTCGCGCAACGTGAAGATTGGTCAGTTGACAATAATAATTTCTAATAATATTACAGAGATCAAAAGGTCGCTTATTATTTTCTGATAATGAAGACCTAGAAACTGAAAAGTCATCAGGAAAAATCAATTTATTCGATTCCGATTCTGAGGGACGAGAACGATCCATGGGTATCTTGATGTGCATAAATGTGTGCGTATTTTCTTTAATGATTTAACTAGAAACGTATTATTTACATAATTCTTGTTAATTAGATATAGTAATTAATCCCATATTTGAGGGCGTTTCGGGGCGCGAGCGGTTAAACATTCAGAAAAAGTTTCGCGGCGACGAACGGTTTAAATTAACCGAGGATTTTGTCAGTGAAGATGATGCCGACGAGAAAAACCATTCTGCTGATTATGCTGGACTTGATCATGAAATAACAAGGTTTTTGGAAAAGGAAAAGTCTGAAAGATTGGGAATCCTTAATGAACTTCTCGGAGATGGTCCGAAATCTGAACCATCAAAAAAGTTCGTGCAGAAATATATACTTTTTTTTATTTTTCCTCTCTTTCATAACATATATACAAGTTCTTATATTTTTAGAAAATCAAAAGAATGGAAAGAAATGATTCATTTTGATCCCGATATACCAGAGGCAAAATTATTTGAAATTCAAAGAAATGGTATTCGAGATTCATTGGGTATCGATTATTATAATTATTAGTTTGTTATATAGATGACATGTTGATTGTACAAACTTGAAAATATGTAGAACCTGTGGACGAATCTAAATCATTTTCGAAGCCTTTACCGACAGTATCAAAGGAAGTAAAAGTCGAAATAAACACCGACTTAAAAGGGATTTTTGCTCCTGGAATGTTAAACTGTAAATATTTCATCATCATACGAAATTCCATTCTTTAATATTTATTCTCTGACAAAATTTGAATTTTTATTAGTGACTTCTCTTCGACTTTTTAGTAGCAATGGAGAAAACGAAAAGAACTTGGAAGAAATCAATGAAACTCGCATGACCGATGAAGAAATAAAAGAACCTTTGCCGTCGGTATGATATTAGGAATATTTAAAAAACCCGAGTTGAATATTAATAGCTACTATCGTTATTGCATATTGAAGCAATCGTTAATAGAACCCGATAAAAATAATGAAATAAAATTATCATCTGGTTCTTTATTCTTTTTCCATTTTGATGATCATGAACTCTCGAAAAGGTTTTTATTTTAAATCAACCTTGCAGCTCCTATTTATATATATATATTTATTTATATTTAATGCCATTTGTTTCCTTTAAACACATTAGATCTCACTATAATAACCCAAAGACTTTTATGAGAACTTTATCCATGTAAGGTTATTGACAAAGTATTATTTATTTTTGATTATTTTTTTTAAGTATATTATTGTATATTTATTCTAGCGAACAAATAATATCTTATTGGAAAGAGACTTCACGCGACATGACTGCTGAGTATAAGCGTAAGCACAAATCAGTATCTCGAAAAATACGAAAGATTAAAAGTAGAAGATAATTTAAAGATTGTTCCTTCATATTAGATGTTAATTTTATTACATCTGTGAATGAATAAGTCATTTGAAAACTGATAAATTTGATTATCAAATTTTTGCCTAAGAAAACTAGATTAATACACAAAAAAATATTTTTATTGAAGAATAAAGAAACTATTTAAATAAAACTTTTTGAAATTAATTTAAAATTTTTTAACGTTTTTTCTCAATAATTAAAACATTTATTGTTTTATAAAAAATATAACGTATTATTTTATTAAAATTTTTTATTAATTTGATTCTTACGTAAAAAAACTGTCAATTTTAAGAATAAAAGCTTCATATTTACGTAAATAAAAACATTTTGAAAAAATCTCAAAAAATATTTATTAATTATATTAATATTTTTTAATATTTTTTTCTTAAATACAGTGGATATTATAATTTTTTATATAAAAATCATCAATTATTTATTTATATTTTTTGAAGAGATCTTTTAAATGTACTTTTTTAAAATATACTTATTATGGTTTTTTCTTTAAATGTATAGTTAAGTTTGATTCCAAACATATAAAACCTTTAATAAAATTATCTTTTTAAATATATACTCTTTATAAATATATCTTTTTTAAAAAATTTCTTATGGATTCAAAAAAAATATATTTAAAAAAATTTCATTATATTTATATTGTTAATAAAAAAAAATAATTTATAATTGTATTATAATTGAAATATAATAAATTTAACAAGCTTAATAGATAAATAGTATAATAATAAACAATAAGTATAAAATATTTATTAATAATTTTTTGAAAAATATTTTTTTTAAATGAAAAATGCAAGTAGTATATGACTTTTATTGAGTGATTTATATTTAATTATATAATTACAAAGTTTATTTAAGTTAATTTACTTTTTTATTTATATTAAATTTAATAATATAGTATATATCTTTAAAGTGAACTTACATTTTTTTTAGAGAACCTATTTAAGAAATAAAAATCTTATTACTAGTTTTAAACTATCTAACTTATTGATTCAACTAATATTCAAATAGAATATAATAACAAAACTAACTTGAAATATTCCAAGTTTTTTTTATCTAATTAAAATTGATTATAAAAAAAAAAGTTATTGATTGAAATTGATTGAAATAAAGTATAATCCAGTTTATATATTCAAATATGTTATATTTTTGCTTATTAATAATCATTATAATACTAATTAAACAATTATTATATCACTACATCTTTTATAGAAATTATAATTTCAATACTTATTGGATTAATATATAAATCAGCTTTCTATAAAAAACAATATATTATAAATTATAATATTAGATACTATTGTTAAAAGTAAAAATGTTTA